GATATCTCATAGTTGTTTTAATTTGCATCTCTCTTAGGGCTAGGGATTTTGAGCATTTCTTCATGTGTTTGTTAGCCATCTGAATGTCGTCTTCGACTTTCTTAAATATACCTTTAATTGAAGCTATCTCATCTGGTCATATGTTTTCACCACTTACATCTTTATTGTACTGGCAAGATCCATCACACTAACAGCATAGATTGCCTAGTTCTCAGCTGAGGCAATTTTGTCCCCTAAAGAGAAGCAGGATGCTGCTATTCAAGCTTGGGAATGAGCTTTACTTACCTCATCAAACAGCAAAGAAAATTGCTAATAAGATAACCAAGAGGTAGAGATAAGAATGCCTTGTATTAAAAATAGAAATGGAGTAGAGTTTCTGGTGGTTCTCAACTAGAGTTGATTTTGCTCCCAGGAAATATTTGGTAAGGTCTTAGAAGCATTTTGAGTGGTCACAACTGGATATCTAGTAGGTACAGTCCAGAAACTGTATTAAACATACTACAGTATATAATTCAACCTGAACATAAAGAATGCTCTGGTTCTAAATGTCAATAATGTTGAAGCTGAAAAACCTTCTTTTACATAATCCTAAAGAATCATGTAAGGTCAGTTCTTAATCTTTTAATGAATACAATTTTTTTGGATTCTAAAATATTTCTTCTCATTGTTTCAGGAAAATTCTGTGAAAAAATCTCTATTCATCTGTTTGAATTGGCTTCAACTCTATAAAGTTGAAATTCATCTCTGATAGCACAGACTATGCTACTGGATTTAAATTCACTTATAAAACTCTTAAAACAAACTATTTTCCTGGCAAAAATTATTTCTTTTCACCACATACCAGCCAAGCCTTTTGTAAAACTTCAGGTACTATGAGATTTGTATAAAAGGGCAGAAATTCTAACTCAAGACCCAGTGGTTTCTATAGTTGATGCAAAGTCTACTATGCTCATTGCACATTCAGGATTACTGAGAGAGCTTAATGACTTCTGGAAAACTGGTGCATAGTCCTCTCCCTTCTTGCTGGTTCGGCATGAAGAGCCATTTCATGCACCATTTATAGGAGAGAGGAGGGAAGATTTCTCTTTGCTGCTGGGGTGATACAATTTGTCTGGATGTTTTCCCTTGTTTTGCAGATTTAGGTTGTGGTACCTTAGTTATCCCTTTTTGAAAAAGGCTTCATACAGTCTTCACTATCCTGCAAACTACAGTAACATGGCTAACGGTAACTGGATCTTTCAAGCCCCAGAATGTTATGTAATTAAGGTACAAACTTGAGTTACTCTTACTTTGCTATTGCTATTTTCACAAACAAGTGAAGCACCAAGAGGACAAAAGGAGTTTTTTTCCCTGATTCACTATTCCGTTTTTAGTACCCAGAACACAGTTTAGCCTGTAAGATTCTCCATTGGAGGGAAAAAAGTTCCCATGGAGTCTTGAAACTCAGTAAATGTGTGTTGTAAAATCGTAACTGACTCATAGCTGATCCTATAGTAGGTTTTCAGAGGCTGTAAATAACACAGAAGAGTGCCCATTTTCCTCCAGCTGATGGATTCAAACCACTTGCCTTTGGGTTGGCAACACAACTTCTTACCACTAGGCCACCAGCACTCCCCTAGAAAATACTTTCTGAGTAATTGTTATTGTGTACCACCGAGTTGGAATAGACTCATAGCTGACTTCCAGTGGGTTTCCAGAGACAGCAAATTGCACAGGAGGCAAGTGCCTGCTCATTTTCCTCCTATGGAGCAGTTGGTGAATTCCAACCGCCTGGCTCAGAGTGGCTGCTGAATAATCGACAGCCTATCTTTCCCTGCAACCACCCACGCTACCCACTAGGTGGCACTTGTGCTCTTTTGGTGTGTGCTGCCTGATCTTTGTACGTGATTTATCTGTGTGGCCTAGGGCTCCCAACTCAAACGTCAGAAGTGAATTCACCAGCCTCAGCCAAGGGAAAAAGATGAGCAGTCTCCTCCTCTAAAGATTTACAGCTTTCAAAATATGACTGAGTATCCCTAAGTCAGAACTGTCAGCTGGGGTAACATGTAGTAACTGTGGTAACACGTTTGCTATGATGCTGGAAACTGAGCCACTGGGTTTTCCACATACCAGAAGGGTCAACAATGGTGAACAAGTTTCAAAGAAGTGTCGAGACCCAGACAAACTAAGAAGCAGGACTAGCCATCTGTTTCTGAGATAATGGACCCTTGAAAATCCTACAATAACAGTGGAAGATTGATAAATAGTACTGGGAAATGAAGCAAGCACTCTAAAAGCACTCAAAATACGACTGAGGAAGTGCCGTCTTCTCAAAGTAGCATCTACTTTAATGATGTGGATGGAGTAAAGCTCCTCAATGAAGGATTGCCAATTTGCTGATGTGCTACAACCGAAAATGTGGGGAAACGTCTTCAACAATGGGTTTAAGACATAGCAGAGATTGTGAGGGTGGCATAGGATCAAGTAGAGTTTTGTTCTACTGACTGTAGGGCCATCACGAGAGATGGATCAGCCCGATGGCACTTCACAAGTCCTTTCTAGAAACAAGTTATTTTCTTTCTTACTAGATTGCTAACAAAGCACTTGTAAAAACAGCTAATGACAAACAGCCCAAATTGTCAGGCAGCCTTCCAAGCAAAGGACAGAGTCAGTGAGCAAAGGGGAGCCAGTGCGTTAGTCCAGTGAGCATCACTAGGAATATCGAATGTGCACTGACATTTGCACAGTTCCTCAATTCTGCTCATATTTTGTAGCTTAGAGGTTTTGAGAAGCTATGATACAACATCATTTCCTCAGTATTTTATCCCACTCATGAATCAAGACTATTTGAAGAGGATCCAGAATACGGACTAATTTTCTCTCTTGGGGGCACCTTTCAGAACAAGTTGAACAATCTTGAATTCTTCTGCATGATCAAAGTCAGGTAGCTCATTCATATTGTTTACTCTTGAGACAATGTTGAATCTTTTCTGCTTTCATTTCAGAGTCTAGAAATCTAAGGAAATGGAGACTGCACTTCAGACTGTGTGCCAGTGTACCAGGATGTGGAGAGGAAGAATGGCATAGGATTTTATCCCTGGGCAGCCCCACATCCTATGGTTCCAGCTTGATCTTGAGAAAGGGTAAAAAGAGATTAGCTCCACTTTCTTCTAATTCCCTTGCACCACCTCCAACCAAACTTGTCTATGTTTCTCATCTCCACTATTTTCTCCTCTACACTGTGGAGTAGGAAGAAAGAGAGGCAAATTCAAAGAGCCATTAAACAAAAAAAATACTGAAGACCCACAGAGCACTCTGGGTGGAGCAGGCCAATATTGTTGTTTGTTGTTGTGTACAGTCCAGGCAGAACTGACCCATAGCTAAGTCTTCAGCAGGTTTTCAGAGGCAGTTTTAATTGCACAGGAGGAGACTGCCCACTTTTCTCCCATGGAGCAACTGGTAGATTTGAACTACATGCCTTCAGGACTGCAGCACACTTCTTACCACTAGGCCGTGAGCACTCTCATGAAACTGGATTAACATTCCCTAAATGGTCAGTGTTTCAGAGCCAATAAGATTGGCAAGGAATAGATAGGGCAGGGTTTAGGGCTGTTGTGTACGCAGGGTCACTCTCAGTCACAGGTGACTCAACGGCACATATCAACAACAACACATGACAAAATGAATTTACCCAGCACTTGACAATGTCTTGTCTGGTCTTGATTTGAACCAGCTTGGTTGTGTCGTTTTGCTGTCCCTACTCCAAATTCCATGAAGTCACTTACCTGTGCTTAAGCTGTTTAAGAACTACACCATTGCTAATAGCAAAGTCAGGTTATACTTAAAATGTCCATGCTGCAATAAAATACTCAGAGACTCCAGATGACTGAATTGTCCCATATTTCAAGAAAATCACCATAAATCACTCATTGTTAATTCTGCAACCCTGACCTTCTTTTGGGAAGCTGATCAATTGTGTTATGCTTACACCTAGATGTAAACATTTCTACATCAGAAGATGAATCAATTCTTCTGCAGAATATTTTGGATAGACTATCTGAAGAAACTAATGTTTCTGGTAAGCAGGTCTGGGAAATGTGACCAGTCATTATAATAAAGGGTATGTGGGCCACGGTTCCACCAAGAAATACAATCAGTATATTTATTAGCAGCAGAATATCATTAAACAACCTATGATCAGGAGGCAATGGTGATGAAGGAGGAAGCTCAAACTGCTCTGAAGAAACTGTCAAGAAATTGGCAAAAAGTAGAAAAAAAAAGCACCCCAGGAATTAATAGAATACCAATTAACATATTTCAACAAACAGATGCTGCCCTGGATGTGCTCATCAGATTGTGCCAAGAAATCTGGAGGGCAGCTACATGGCCAACTGACTGGAAGAGATCCATCTTTATTCCCATTTAAAAAATAAAAAAAGACAATCCAATAGAGTGTAGAAATTATCAAACAATATCACTAATAAGCAAAATTCTGTTGAAGATTATTAAAAGAAAAAAACAACAAAAAACTGGGAGTGAAAGTCAACAGAGAACTACCAAAAATACAAGCTGGGTTTAGAACAGGCCATGGCATTTAGGGATATCATAGCCAGTATCAGATGGATCTTGGGGAACACAGAGAGTACCAGAATAATGCCTTTTTTTGTTTCATTGATTATTCAAAGGCATTTAACTGCATGGATCACAACAAATTGTGGCTGACATTGAGGAAAATGTCATTGAGGAAAAATCAGAACACCTGATTGTGCTCATGTGAAACCTAAACACAGACTAGGAAGTAGTCATCAGAACAAAGCAAGGAAAAAAACTGCATGGTTTAAAGTTGGGAAAGGAGTGCATCAGGGATGCGTTTTGTCCCCATACCTTGTAAATCTATAGGCAGAACAGATCATTTGGGAGGTTGGGCTTTATGAGGGGGAATGTGGCATCAGAATTGAAGGAAGATTCATCAACAGCTTATGTTATGCAACCTTGCTTGCCAAAAATGAGGACGGCCTGAAGTGTTCACTGTAGAAGGTCAAAGACTACAATCTTTAATATGGATTGAAGCTCAACATCAAGAAAACTTGCAAAACATTACACAACATGGGGGACCCAGCAGCACATCATGCTGAGTGAAATATCTCAGTCACAAAAGGAAAAATACTGCATAGCACCACTGTTATAAAGCTGACATAGGGAGTTGGGAAGAGAATAGGATAAGAACACTGCATTGGAACAGATGAAAGAAACAACTGTCTAAAATGAATATACGATTAGGCATCATACATATGACAATAGAGCAGAATAAGAGATATATCATTACAAAGGCTACTGGGGAGGGGGAGGTAGGTAATTGAGCAACAATGAAGGAATTTTTTTTTAAAGTGAATTGGGGGAGGAGGAAGAAAGGGCAAAGGGGTATAATGTGTAACAATAAATGAATGAAAATCTAACTTTTCCGTAGATGTTTGTTAAAATCACAATTAAAGTAACATTTTCTTTAAAAAAAAAAAGACAACAAAGATTCTTACCACTAGGTAAATTGGCAGCACCATGATAAATGGAGAGGAGATTGAGACTGTAAACAGTTTCCTCTTGCTTGGTTCCACAATCAACAGTCTTGGCACCAGCAGTCAGGAAATCAAGAGACAAATTGCACTGGGAAAATCTGCTGTCAGGGACCTCTCCAGAGTGCTAAAGAGCACAGTTGTCAGTCTGGAGACTAAGGTGTGCCTAATCCAGTCCATGGTCTTTGCTACTGCTTGCTATGCATCAGAGAGCTGAACAATGACTAAGGATGACAGAAGGAGGATCAATGCTTCTGTGTTGTGGTGTTGAAGAACAGTGTTGAACATTACATGGGGGGCCAAGAAAACAAATGGGTTTGTCCTGGAGGAGATGAAACATGTAGCTCCATCTTACATACTTAGGGCAGGTGGTCAGTCCTTGGAGAAAGACATCATACCTGAAAGGGTGGAGCGACAGTGCAAGAGAGGAAGAACCTGAATGAGACGGATTGTCACAGTAACCAAGATAATGAGGTTAAGTGTGTTGGAGACAGTGAGACTGGCTCAGGATAGGACAGAGTTCAGAGACTTGCTGGCAAGTCGATGGCACATAACAACAATGGATGTGACTAAAAAAGTCTGAAATCCACAGAACACCCACTCAGAGAGTGTTTAGGAATCCAGTCAAGTGTGTCTCACTGTTCTTAGGTAGGTAGTAGAGTACCTGGCACCAAGGAGATAATTTGGAGATTGTTATCTAGGCTTGATAGTGAGGAAAGCCCAGAGATAAGTCTCAGGTGACCTCTGTGGAGTCACTTCCCCTACTCCCAGGTGTCTTTCCAGCTGGACTGTGGGAGTCAAGGAAGCCTCAGCTGGCTCCTGGCCATGGCAGGTTAGCCTGCGGATTGCCAACGAGCATCTCTGTGGAGGGCCCATCATTGGAAAGACCTGGATGGTCACTGCTGCTCACTGCTTCGCCAATCAGTAAGGAAACCTTGACAAGAGAATGGGGTGCTGGCAGATAGATGGTTTAAGGTGGTTAGTCACAAACTATTCAGCCATCACCTCGCCTATCTATCAAAGTCTGCTGTGAGCTACTGTTCATATTGTTATTCATGAAGGAGATCTGGGGGCCAGTCAACTGGAAGGTGTGCTGCTAACCCAACAGGAGCACTTCTTTGGTGCTTCAAATCCTCCAGCGTTCTCGAGGAGAAAGATAAGCAATCTTCTCCCGTGCGATTCCAGCCTCACAAACCTACTGGATGGTGCTGTGAGTCGGTTCCAACTGAACAGCAGGAGAGCGTATCTCCATTCACCACTTTCATAGGCAACCTGTGTTCCCAGACTGGAAACTCCCTGTGTGCTCATGCAGATTCTGTCCCTTTCACACTGTGCTCCATGTCTTGGAGAACACTAGGTGCAGAGCACAGCATTACTTAGGAGAGGAACTTTATAATTTTTTTTTTTAAATTTAGGTTGTTTATTTTTCATTTCAATGAACATCTACAGAGATTTGGGGATTCCATTCATTCATTGTTGCACCCTTCTCCCCACACAAACCCCTCCCCCTCCCCCCCATTTGCTCCTCTCCTTATCAGTAGGATGATGTGGCAAGATCCAGAATAAATTAAAGTGGAAGTCAGTTTCTAAAAAAAAAGATATATGATGTTAAGGTAGACATCAACCATGCCCCACAGAAATTTACTAACTAAAATAGACATTGAAATGCAAAATTAAAGAAAAATCATTACTTGCTCCATAAAGTAGTTGAGTCAGAATCAACTCGAGGGCAGAGGGTGTAAGAGTAAATATCAAATACAATGAAATAAACAATAGTGTTCTCATTTAAAATAGAACGAACAAGTATACTATCATCTACATCATGTAAAATCATTATTATTTGGAAATCTTGGGCAAATCTATAGCTATAATATGATTACATAAAGGGAAACCCTTCCAAATCAGCATGTAATCAATGACAATGTTATAAATGAAAATGTCTGAATTATTTTATGCAAAGTCAGTATGATTTCTAAACATACACTTGAAAATTTTTAAAAAGCATGCATGTATTGGAACTGATAGAATTTATTCATATGAGAAGTTTCAGAAGAGGTAAAATTTATCAGCCATATGTGCTTAGAGTTAGTAGGGAAAGTGATTAAATATATGAATTGTGGGACAAGTTGCCTGGATTTAAGTTTTAAACCTGTTTTGGTAACTGCATAGCAACTGTGGATGAATTATTTAATCTGTGTCATACATTTTACAAATGAGGAATATAACATTGTAAAGATTAAATTAGACAATGTACACAAAACATTTCAAATAGAGCCTGAGGCAGAGCACACTCTATATGAGTGTTTTCTGTTCATAAATGTAATGGAGTCTGATAATATGTTGTTTGTTGTTGTTGTTGTTGTTATGTGCAGAGAGTCGCTTGCTACTAATAGTGACCCTATGTACAACATCACTAAACTCTGCTCTATCCTGTGCCAATCGCAC